CCCTGTACAACCCTTTCAACTCCCTAGTGAATCTTATTTTCTACTACAAATTCCCTAGAGTTGTATTTGTCCGTAATGACTACTTGTTTTAGGAGCCCTTTTGGGCAAATGTTCCCTTCGGGGACCATCACGCAACAGCACAGCCCTTTGCCGCCAGTGAGCCATTTCTCCCAGCAAATGGCCATACACCAGGTTCTTTTCGTTTTTCTCCATGTTTTTCTTGTTTCATGTGAGTTTCTAGTTTTGCATGAATGATGTAAATTTCCAGCAAGGCCAGCAAAATGGTCATCAGATGTTGGTGTCAACTCTGCACCAGCCACATTCCCCTCTTTCTACGCTAAATGCTGTTGCGACACATGAGACCATCACATTTTTTGACAGTGAGTGTACAATTTTGTTTTTGGTGCAGAAACTGCTTTTTGAGCTAGTGTATACGAATGCAGGACTTCTTTTGCAGCCATGGACGATCGTACTCCATCGCCACCCACATCTGATCGTAGTTCTCCAGCTAATGGAGTGATGAATGGAAACCTAGTGTACGATGGAAGCACTGGAATGTCAACGTTTTCCAATACTAGTGAGTACAGATTCAAAGTAGAAAATTATGAGAATATACGAAGTTTTTTTTGTAGGCCCGATAAATGGTTTGGCTGTGGCACAACAACAACTGAAATCACGAAGCAAAATGCACGAAATGGCCGTACGCCAGAGGCTTATCACTGACCAGGTACAACTCTGTTGCAAACTTATCGTCATGCTCGCTGAGCCTGCGCCTGGCGTATATTGACCAATCACAGGCGCGCTGTTACAGTATGCCAAGATCCCCTCAGCATAGGTAATACGGTAAAAGACCAGTCAGTACCTTATTCAACTTCCAACGGATGTGCATTTGAGTTTGGCTATTGTGTCTGACTATTGAAATCTCAGGAAAAATATTTTTGAATAATTTTTTTTTCAAGGTAAATTTTCCTGCCATAAGGCTTCACAAATGAACGATTACTAAGATTTCTTCCAACTATAGCAAAATTAGTTAGCTAGAATGTAGACATGCTCTACCGAGAAATTTTCTTCTATTCATCTTAAGCAAATTTCTCAATCTCAAGCTAGAATTTTGGCCTTTTTGATGGTCCTGCTTTTCCATTTTATGCAATTTTTTGCACTTAGAATCTGTAAGAAAGCTCATGATTGGGCAATTTCTGTCAGAGAGCTTGCCATTTATAGCACTCTTCTTTGCTTCTTTGCTTGAGGAGTCTTGCCATTGCAGGACCCTCGCAGTCAGGGACCCGTGCAGCTTACACCTGAAGAAAAAAGAACCCTTGTCCAGGAAGGTTACCCGGTGAGTTTTTTAGTGTGCCCCACCGATGAGGGTCCCAGGGGCGGGTGAATTTTAGAAACTTCTATAGCTATCTTAACTATTTACAAGTATAAACAAGGCACTTCCAATTATTCAATTAAGTAACTTTCAAAAATTCCGCGAGCCATTCTTGGGTTCCCTAAGTTTCCTAGTTAGTTTATTATTACGCATGAATTCGCTTTATTCCAGATACCCACTCGTCTTCC